CGGGGAACCACGGCCGGGAACGGGGGAATGGTCGAGAATGAATGAATCAGAGGAACGGGGGAAGGAGGGGCGGGGATGCGGAAGAATGAGGGCTGGGGATGCAATCAACAAGCGTCAAGAAAGAAGCCGGAGGAGCGGGGAGATGCGGAAGAATAAGGGTCGGGAACGGGCGTAGAAAGCGTGAAGAAAAAATCGGAGGAGCTTCTCGGGTTCGAGGCGATATATACCATGTGAAACTACACGTCACTCTCTAGATGAAAAGCTTGAAGCCATGGGATTCATACATTAGCCATGGTGACCCACAGATTCCCCTAGGCCAGGGTTTCTTCAGAATCATTGCCAAGACAGGTGCGGTATTTCAGAATCGCTTATCCTAGGTTACCACTCACTCTTACAGTCATCCCCGAAGGCGGTTTCAAAAACGCCGAAGAAGGGTTCATCAACATGGACATCACTCGAAGCGACGATCTACGTAGAAAGACGCACGTGTCAAATGGAGGTTGGGGGGACGAGTACTCTACTCGCGCTTTAAACAACTACCTGCGAGCGATGGAGGTGCGTCAAAAAAAGCAGCAACTCACCGGACGCTCGCTCAAGACCTGGCTGGCCTCCTCCGAGCCCATCTTGAGGAACAACTTCTTGGAGGCGCCCTTGACGAAAGCCAATATGTCGTCCTTCTTCGTGAAGGAGAAGATCTGCATCGACAGCTGCTCGTCGTCGAAGTGTCGGTAGACAACGACCTTGTTCCCGATGTCTGCTCCCATGATATCGGCCACCTTTTGTTTTCGAAGATCGTTGGGTTGTTGAAACCAATATTGTTAGAAACTAACAGAAACAAAAAAAAAGTCCAAGAATTGGGAGAAAAACATAAAAACTGCGACAAAATAGTTAATTGTGTGATTCCTCCCCGAAAGCAAAAATTACGCAAGACAAACAAGACATTACATCACGTCCGCCCCCAGGATGTCGGCCACCGTTTTTTCGAGGATAATTGTAGTGTCAGAAACCATGAAAGTCCCGAAAATTGTGAAAAAAAAATATAGAGAAAAAAAACTGCGACTAAAGTACAAATATGTGTGTTGAATCGTTCCTCCCCGAAACCAAAAATGACAAAAAGGTCTGCGAAGTACAATAACATAAATCCTTAATATAGCTCCGAACATAGAGGTCATCTGGTTTTCTTCAATGATTGGATTGTTAGACACAATACTTGTAAAAAGTCATGAAATTTTTCAATTTTTCAAACAATATTTTTTTCTCGTGTGTGTGCTTCCATGTGTGCGTGTCCTCCCCAACACCAAAAACTCAAAATAACGGCAAACTGCTCAAAAGACCCCTCGAACTACTCGTAATCTACCACAACATCAACAACAACGGCTTCTACGTACCCGATATTTTTGTCGTTGACTCATCAGAGAACTACAGGGGATGAATAATAAAATGTACTTCAAAAACCGGTCGCCACGGTCGTCTAGAGGTAACCTCGAAACAGCTAAGTGTAGTACGCGTCTCACCGCGAAAAACGGGGGGATTGTCGCTAAAATAAAAAATAGGGCGTTAACACACAACACACAACACTTCGAGACACAGACATGTTGTGCTTGGCACTAGTCTTAAATAGACCCAAAATAAGCCCAATTTCCAGCCGGTTTCCCTCCACTCACTGTAAAAGACGTCAGCACATCCCCTTATAGATTGGTGGTTATATTTCCAACGGGTATTATAGTCTTAGCATGAACATTTTCTAAAAACAATGAAAAAAAAGGGGGGGAAACACCTCGTGGTCGTAGGACACCCCGTAGGCGCGGCCGAAGTCCCCCTGTGCGGTTAGACTGTGGTTTCATTTCCAACGGGTATTTTAGTCGTTGCATGAGTATTTTCTAAAAACAATGAAAAAAAAGGGGAAAACACCTCGTCGTTTTAGGACACCCCGTAGGCGCGGCCGAAGTCTCCCTGTGCGGTTAGACCGTGGTTTTATTCCAACGGGTATTTTAGTCTTAGCATGAATATTTTCTAAAAACAACGACAAAAAAAGGGGGAAAATCACCTCGTCGTCGTAGGACACCCCGTAGGCGCGGCCGAAGTCCTCCCGTGCGGCCTCCTTGAACTTTACGTACGCGTCCGAACCCTCCTTCTCCAGCACCGCTACCACCGACACCTCGTTCTCCTCCAAGAATCTGCCCACCTCGCGGTCGCCTGCCAAATACTGCGGAGGGGGGGGTGCCGTTATGAAAACGTTATGCAAAGAGGGCGGCGGGTTATGCCTACCTCGGCCTCGCCTGCTAAAAACTGCAGACTGGGGGGGGGGGGGGGGGGGGGGGGAAAGGAAGAGAAAGGAAAGAGGGAAGAA